AGGTAAACGCCGTCGTTCCGAGTCGTGAGGATTTACGCATCAATAGCTGGCGCCGTCTGTGGGAACGATTAGTTCTCTGAAGAAATAATAATCCCAACGCGACTTGGCTCGGACGGTAAGACGAAAGTTTCTGATCATGGAAACCTTCCCAAAGTCATCAGTTGACAACGGGTTTCCATGTTCTTATATAAGGACGAGACTCTACATCTTGATTACTTGTCTATGATACTGGGGGCAAAACAGTGGGTTACGTGATGCCACCTTTCAAAATTTGGCACTTCGACCCAGGCAGTCCAATATGGTGTTTTCCATCTAACGATGCTTGGTCCCTTCACTATTGAGGTTTGGTTGTCTAAGACCAGACTCCATCTTATATCGGGCAGCAGCCAATTACCAAGGCCAAATCGTTGAAGACTAAGGTCTGGTCTTTCTGTACCTACATAAATGGGTAGGTCTCCACCCATCAAGAAGATCACCACCAACAAGGGTGTCTCTACTTACTAGTAAAGCTTCTACTACTGAGGATGTCTCTAGCAACGGAGTTTCGTTACTCCGTCCGTTCATACAATCAGGGTGGCCTTCTACACCCAAGAATGTATCGAGACCTTCAGGTCCAAGGAGGTCCAATGTCCCTCAAGATCCCATGTCCAATGAGGTCTGTATTCCCAAGCAGGTTCCTAAGTTAAGGGCGATCATTGGACCTAACGAGGTACTGACCACCAGACCGTCATCTGGTACTGACCACCAGACCGTCATCTGTCAGCCGTTGGGTACCACGCCTCTATCCACCAGGCATCAAGCCAGTCGCTGGACACTAAGCCTCCACCTACCAGACGACAGTCGTCACCTCTCTTCCCTTGCAGGAATGGCCTATCGACTTCAGATTATGCAGAATTTTGGATTGATAATCCATTGCAGGTTAATTTTTAGTAATTACTTCTAACCCAATCCAATATTTTTAGATACCAAGATCCGTTGCATAAACGTCTATAGAATGGGTCATCACCCAAGATCCCAACATGGGGGGCAGAATAGTGGATCATACGATATCAATCACCGATCTACATATGATGACAAGGTTTAGAAGATTGATCGTACCTTGGTACATCGAGTTAGTCGGGTTTCTAATCTCTTCACGACGGGAAGGGTACAATCCTTGGTTATTATAAATCAAGGCTTGGTTATCCAAAACCAAGGCCTAGTCAACCAAGGCTAAGAATTGATTGCCCAAAGTCTACAAAGGCTCGGTCATCTAAGATCAGTGCCCGGTTACCCCAAGTTTGGTCATTAGAGACCAAGACTAGGGCCTAACTGACAAAAGTATGGTCATCAGAGATCAGGACTTAACCTATAAAGGTCAGGTCAAAAAACGATCCTCCCCCTCACGTGTTATACTTATGTGGTAATTAATTCCCTTACTAAAGGGACGAGCTGAGTAAAGCTCGTAAAGTTTATTCCCTTGCTAAAGGGATGGGTTGAATGATTCCCGTAATCAAATATCCTCGAACTATAAGGGATAGTAAATAAGTGTCATGTACTACAAGTACCATGGCTGAATGAATCTCGTAATCAATATCCCCGTACTATAAGGGATAGTAAATAAGTATCCTGTACTACAAGGACCTGGGCTGAATGAATCCCGTAATCAAATATCCCCGTACTATAAGGGATAGTAAATAAATGTCCTGTACTACAAGGACCCGGGCTGAATAAATCCCGTAATTAACATCCATGTACTATAAATGGATAGTCAATAAAAATTCCTTATTAAAGGGGACGAGTTGGGTGAAACTCGTAAAATTTAATTTCCTTATTAAAGGAGTAACGACTTGAGTGAAGCTCGTACAATTTATTCCCTTACCAAGGGGAAGAGTACCCAGGGGCAGAATACTCGAGGGTACTACAAATAGTACCCAGGGGCAGAGTACCCAGAGGCGGAGTACCCAAGGGTTCTAGAAATAGTACCCAAGGGAAGAATACCCAAGGGTACTAAAAGTAGTATCCGGGGGTAGAATACCTAAGGGTACCAAAAATAGTATCCAAGGGAACAGTACCCAGGGTTAAAAAAAAAAAAAATTCCTGAGTTACTATTCACGTGAATAGTACCCGCGGGAATAGTACCCCGCGGGTACTGTTCACAGGAGTTGAAAAAAAAAAAAATTTTGAGTTACTATTCGCATGAATAGTATCCGCGTGAATAGTACCCCGCGGGAATAGTACCCCGCGGGTACTGTTCATAGGGGTTGAAAAAAAAAAAAAAATTTACATTTCCAAAGCTAGATGTGCAAGCTTGGGAATGGGGGGCAACTGATAGGGAAAAATATAAACCTATCCTACCCTTGATAAAATTGATTATATTTCATTATCAAGGATAATGAAATCTGACGTGGTTCAACAGGGTAAGAATAATCTTATCATAATTGGAGGAGGTCAAAAGGATTATTCATATCCCCGACAAATCTAGCAACAAATCTCCTATGATCTCGCACAAGCGGAAAATAAGATCAACCATCGACATCGGCGGAACCAATTGGATTCCAATTGACAGCCATAAATAGGGCACCAAACTGTTAAAGAAGATATGAGAAAAAATTCCTAAATAAAAGATACATAGTTATTATGTAATACGATTACAAGTACTAACTTGATCGTTGGAGGGTCCTTGGCTAGCACCCCACCGATGCCATTCGAAGTGACGTCATTTTGTTTTGTAAGTAAATGCCATCGTTCTGAGTCGTGAGGATTTACGCATCAACATATTTAAAGGCTAATTTATTGCATATTGCCATCGTTTCTTCCATGGAAGAGGAGTTAGTATGGTTGTTTTTTTCTCTGTTTTCGAGCTTTGTATCGCTAAGTACTGGCAATACGTAAATTTGAAGGTGTGATATTATTGCTGCCAACAATAATTAGCTACCGACATAATTCACTTTGCTTTGTTTTAATGTAATTGTGTGTGTATCTATCCATACATATATATATATAAAAACTCTCTCGCATGATATTATAGGCGCTAGATTGGAAGCATGTTCAGTCATTTACGGAATATCAGAACTGGTTGCATTATGCGTCTTAGTTGGTAATCCATTCGGTCAAAATTCAAATTGGTCTGATTGAAATAATTAAGGACATTTTATATTACTGACTCAAACATTGTATTGTATTAAAAAAATTTATGCATGGTAAGTAGCTGAGGAAGAGGAAGTGTTCGCAGTAACAGATAGACATAGGGTTAAGTATAAAAAATCCCCTCTATACAGTGCAATGCAAAATAATTCGTGGTATAAAACTTCCTATGGTATAAAACTTCATATATTATTAATTTGGTGCAATTACTTTTTTTTTTTTTGTATAAAAAGACATCAATACCCTTTCTAATATAAATAAAATAATATTTAAAAAATTAGGCAATGTGAAATTACCATTTACCTTTTTTTTTTTTGTATAAAAAGACATCAATACCCTTTCTAATATAAATAAAATAATATTTAAAAAATTAGGCAATGTGAAATTACCATTTTAGATAATTTATTATTTTCTTTTTGCCCTTTGTATTTGGTTGATGGACGGCTGAGGTAGGAGCACCAGAGCTGTTTTGGAGGAGTTTGCAGTCGAAGCGGCGGATCGAGCTCGTCCGGATTTTCGGCGGCGATTTGAGGCACATTTGGGAGTTAGCTAAGTGGATAATGGGGATGGGCTTTGATTTGTTATGGCAGAGGAGTACGGAGACGATGCGAGATGGGTGTTGACCAGAGAGTTTGTCGGCGACCATCGACGTCGAAAACGCATCACCGGCGTGCCATCCCCGCTGCAAGTCGTCATCGCCGGAGCCCAATCTGTGGCTCAACGACGGCGAGGATACGGTGACCTCTGTAACTCTTTATCAGCAATGGAAAATGGGGGATTTTCAGGCACACAGTACTAGTTATGTGAGGAATACTGTGTGCCTGAAAATCTTGAAATATATTTTAGATACTCTATAGGAATGTAATTTCCAGCCTACTAAGATACAACTAATAATTCTAAACTTTCTTCTAGACTGCAACTTTCAAAGTTACCGTGTAACTGAAGATAATGCGATATATATAGCAGTATGACTGATGGATCTATGGAGTGTGCATCAATATTTATAGCTTTAATTTGGATTTTTACAGAGAGAACAAAATGGAAGAGGGGGGATTTTAGAGTTGAAAATTATGATTTTTTGGTATGCTTTGGGTATGATAATTTGTTATTTTTTTGAGTTTGATGAATTTGGTGGGGATAGAAAGAACATTGGGATTTGGGATTTTACACAGAGAACACGTATATATGCTCTGTGTTAGATATATAGTTTTTGTTGTTCTGGGTCTTCTCCTATCTATAGAAAGAAGATGACCCATTCATGTGGGTCACAAATTGCATTGTATCACGGCAATGGACACAAATCACAAAACAGACGGACAGAATTAGGGTGAGAATGGGAGATACAAGAAAATGGCAGTGGTCTGGTCGAAAGGGCACAGTTGAGAGGGATATATATTTTGGAAGATTTGAGATCTAAAATGTTGTGGGTCCAAAATTTCAATCATAGTATTTGAATATACCATTAAGAGAGGCGGGAAATATACAGGAGTGGTGGTGATGGTGGTGGGGAGGTAGGAGAGAAGGGTAGAATAGGAAAAGAAAAGGACAAGATAAATTTTTGAATTACATTTATGTTAATTTTGACCAAAAAGTGGTCAGAAAGGTTTATTTACACACACTTTTTTTTATTTTTTTTGGATTGAAATGGACATTTTCAAAAAGTAAGAAATTATTTATGCACAAAAGTTTTTTTTGCACTTAACCCAACAGACACACACACACAATTGCTGATGCATGGGGTTGGACATGGGGAAGAGAAATCAAGAAAAAACCACCTCCAAAACGGTCACAGGAATGGGACGTTGAGTTGGCTGTCTGTCAAAGTGATGCAAGGCATGTGCTTGCTTATAATTTCTTCTGGGCAAACAGGCATAAAAGACAACAATCGCAATTGTTTCCAATGGATAATTTGGTGGTGGAACATTGTTTTGAGAGAGAAATCCTTTTAGGATCATCATGCTCATCGTAGCTTCTAATCTACTTTTAATCTACTACTAATCTTTCCTCCATATTTCTTTTCTGTCACAATCCTAAACCTCCTATCAGTCTCTAGCTCCTCATTAGGATGGGTTGGTGGGGTCCATAGCCCCAAGTGACGACGTATCTGGGCCTCTTCTCAAGAACTTTGACGAAAGCCTGCTTCTTCTTTTCAAGTCTATCACCATCTCAACGAGCTAAAGCCTCTACAGTTGCGACCCTCTCCCCCTGCAAAAGCACAACAGCTTTGATAAGCCAAAACTAACATCACTGAGTGAAACAAATCCAGCCATCTAAAGTCATTGCAACGTTTAACAGAGGCGAGCTTCACTAGAAATCACATCCACTTTTTCAATTTTTATTTTACTAAAACCCCACTTCTTCATAGAGGAAAAAGAGAACTCAAACACACAACAGTAAGCCAAGCTAGGCAAGACACAAAGCATGCCCATTGCTCTACGCACATTATACATACAACCATACATTCATTATATATGCATCATATACAAATTGTACTACAAGTTGGCACGTATAAAGATATATTCCCAAGTCTCAGATATACATCCAAATTAAATCACTTTTTGCAGTTGCAAAATTAATACATATAACCAAAACAAATTTCATGTTTTCTTCTTTCGGTCTCTCCTGGCCTTTCATGTCAATCATATCATTATAGTATTACTGGTCAGTATCATCATAATACATTCTACCCAAATATGCATTACAGAATAGACTTGTCTACTTAATTTATGAGATTTCAAAACTAAAAACTGAATTTCTATATATATGCATCAGCCAATATTTAAGATCCTCTTTTGCATATGGTAATGTAAAGCAAATTAAATATTATAGATTAGTAAATCAGCCCGATAACCTTAGACAGTTATGAAAGGTTATTACCTTGGGCAAAAGCGTGGTTTTAAGAAACCACATCCAGATCGTAGGATCGCCTGTGATTCCAAATTACTTAAATAATCCAGATCACAATAAAAAAATCCCTTTGGAGCGAGATCACAATAGGACCGATGGCATAAAAAAATAGGATCATAGTCTCGTAGAATCATATACATACGATCCCACTAATCGTATTGTTGATCTTTTTAAGTATAAAGCTCAACTCTTTAGCCTAATTGCATTTAAAAAATAATAAAACCTCAAAAAAACAGAATCATCGTCAAAGGTAGACATGATCCAGCTTTGAACTCAAAGGTATGACTCAAAACTTAATAATATTTAATCTATTTTACACTATTTTCTTGATTTCTCTTTCTTTTTCATAACAAAAATAGGGCTCTCTATTTTCCCGTTTATTCTTTTGCCCATTCTCCACCAAAACACAGAGAGACTTTGCATTTTCTTTTCCCCTCCATTCTCTCTCCCCTTCTACCATGTTCTTTAACAAAAAAGAGTATCCCCAACTAAATGGATCAGATAATTGAACTGAACTGTTTTTTCTCTCCTTGCTCCTCTATTCATTTAATTCTTTGTTTAGGCTTTACTTTAATTGTTTTGTTATATTCTGTTATTTTGATGTTCAATATACTGGAATGAAGATTCAAAAAATTGGTTTCGAAGTTTCTCATATGTGTATCTTTTTACGTAATTTGATTTGTTCTAGAATGTTAATATTATTGGTGTTTAGCCTCATTCGCTATATATATTTATTTTTTGCTTTTGATTTAAGTCTTATTCCCTGTTATTTTTAAAATATTTCAATTTAGAAAGTTTGAGTTGTTTTACTACTAGTTGTATAGATTCTTAAGATTTTCAGTCCAATCTAACGATCCTGAAAATATGTGACCCCATCAATCCTACATAGAATCCCGATTAATATTAAACTAATACAACTAAAGGAATTGAAACGTAGAGTTCAACTAAAATATTATGTAAAATAATTAATCCATCAAATATTTTGGATTCACTTGTACTAGTACAAACACAAACTTATGATTCTCCTTGGCTTATTAACCAAGCTTTGCAATTTCCATCAAGAAACAAAGATGGAAAAAGAAACAGCTGCTACACCTAGTGAGACATCCGGTAGCTTTGTTGTATCTCTAATATTCTTTGCCCTGGGAAACTAGTAGCAGAATCACCCACCAAGTTGGACTTGGGACGAACAACATCATACAAACAGTGTTATCCAATACTCCTTCGTAATCACTGACTCACCACTCCAATGCCCACTTGTCTGGTGATTTGGTCTACAAAGGCTTCACAAACTTATAGTTTAGTTGCTTTTATCTGTTCCGCTTCATTGCTTGTTCTAGAAATTTTAAAAGTACAAATAATAGACTTATAGTTGCACAAATCAGATTCATATAATCATCACACATATAATAATTCATTTCATCTCTCTCTTCCCGCTCTGGGCTTATGAGTATATTTGCAGATGACATGATAGCATATTGCACAAATCTTCTGCCAAATTGCAATCACTAAGTCGAGAACTCAATATACCCTGTAAGAACAAATATGCTTCTACTTACGGGGTATTAAATGTTATGGACCCCTGCAACCATTTCTATAACCAACTTTGGTAGACACCCAAAAAAACAAAATAGGAAAAGAAAATAAAACGGAAATATGAACTAGTATAAGATTCCAAAAGGTTAAGTACTTTTTGAGTTTTCAATGCTGGATACTGACTTGTTTTAGATCAAATTCATGAATTATAAGTTTTGGTTACAAACTCTGAGAACTTAAAATTGTAATTCCTGAATGCAAGTGGTGGTGATAATTGCCAAACTACCTCCACAATGAAAGAAATATGGAAAAAACTTGTGCATAAAATAAAAGATTTTTCTGTTAACAAGAAAATAAAAAAGGAAAGAAAAGGAAGAAGAAGACGAGACAACTTTTTTGGATTTGCCAACTGTAATGGAAACTCCTTTTGCAATAAGAAGAATCAACCAAATCTCATAAAAATCTCAAAAGGAATGATAGAGGATGTAAGTTAATCATCCTGTTACTCTAGCTAAAGATTTCGCTACTTCATCTTGAGTTTCTTAAATCAGCATTGGTGTTCCAAAAAATTTTAAGATTTGATTAACTAATTTTGTCAAGTTAAAAATCCCTTTCAACAGTTAGATTTACTTATTATCTTTTACCAAAAAATATTTTATTGTGTAATTTAATATAAAATTAGTATTGCAAAAGAAGAAAAGAAATTATGAATTTAGTTTCTTTATACTTCTTTCGTATGAATCAATTTTTTCCCCTCTTTCCTATAAATCTTACACAGGCATCTTTTGCACTAATGAGTAACAAGCTCTTTCCTAAGACAAATTTTAATGTGTATTACTAGTTTAAATTCAATGTTGTCTTGGTACCTTCGGTTACGTCCAATATAGCACTTTTCCGGTAATTAGTTTAAGACTTCTTGACCATATAAATCTCTCTTGCATTGATTGCCGAAATAAATGCATGATCCATTGACTGTTTTCATTTTTGGTCATCTTGGTTATTAAATTAACTTTCAATTATCAAGTTCACCTTTGTTATAGTGTAGAAAGGCATATTTTGTATCTCTTATAAGAGCATGTTGGTCATTTTCTAGTGAGAGAAGGTCGACTGAGAGAACCTCTAAAGCATTAGAACCCCAAACATAGTAGTTCCTCAACTACCTCTTCTCTATGAATCCTAAATTTAACAACTCTCTAGATCAATGATTGTAATTGCAAGGTCAGCATGAGATGTTTAAACTTTATGGAAATCATCATTAAAAAAAAAAAATTGAAAAACAAAGAAAATCAACCAATCGCAAAAGAAAGACAATCCTAGACGATAGTCAACTCTTGGGATTTTAGAATCAACAAAATGCAAAAACAACATGAAGACATCCCGGTCAAAAATTTTCTTTACGATAGTTATCCCTAAGGTTTCTTAGGACTTGTAAAGTTTTATTCTCAGATTATTGCTTGTTGGCGGGCTCTGATTTTTGACCTCATTCTTCAAAACTTTATTAATTCTATTTGATTCAATTTCAGAACCTTTAGTATAATTTTCTTGAAAGCTTCAGCCTTTCAAAACAAATCTTAGATTCTTTATTAATCTTCATTCTATTTTCAAAGATTTTGACTTTTAAGGATAGAGCTTTCTTTTTTCAAGAATCCATTTATATTGATAGAAAGAATACTATCAGCGACCACTTCTTTTGCAATAAGAACAATGCCAATTGCCAAATCTTAATCTTATTGTAAGGATCGATCCTCGTCAATCCTTGTCATCTCACGTACTAGAAGACATCCACCATTTCATGTCTAGAGCGCACACACCATCTTGTATAACTATTGTACTCATTAATACCAAGACTTATACAATTATGTCTTCTTCTTTTTCTTTTTTCTTTATAGGTAAGATTTCAATAAAGGTGCTCAAGAGGGGTTTAATATCATCTTTCGATTCATTTGAGTTTATATTATTTAAAACATTATTTAAGGTCCAAACTTTAAAATTGAGTTATTAGTGCTGCTCGATTTAAGAATTGCCATGTCAATTATTTTACATCAGTCCCCCCCTCCCTTAGGTCCCCTACAAACAAACTAAAAGGCAAGAAATTCTAAAATTTTGTTGCAGTTCATTATCTATCAAACCCTTTCCTGATTTACTTATGTACAAAATTCATATATTTTGTATTACTAATTTATTTATTCAAGTCTCTCTCTTCAATAGTGAAAAATAAAAACATTTGAGCAAATCAATCAATCAAAATTATCAAACATGTAAATACTAAGAAACCCAAAAAGAAATAATCACAATGCAGTGTTGTGTGGCGAAGACGAAGCTAAAGATGGGAGTCAAAGAATGAATTACTTACTTACTTACAGCAGCACAGCACCGATTTGATAATATGGAGAGGTGTCTAACAATTGATAGGCTTGGGTGGAAAGGACATGAGCTTCGACACTAGTCTGATGACCTTCCCGTTTGGAAATGGAAATTCGCACTCTCTCGCATCGAACAACTTGATCGTGAAGCCAAATCAAAAAGAAGAGGTCGCCACGGAAATGATGAAGTTGAATATAACAACTATGGGAACAACCCCAAAAGGAAGGATGTATACCGAAGATATGGCCGTAGATGGGAGTTTGGAGATCCAAATCGTAAGCATATATGCCAGAATAATCCAAGAAGCCATTCCAAACCCCCATCCAGTAAAGAGTATTATCAAAGAATGCAGGGCGGCTCCTACTCTTCAAATGGGGTTCAATATAAAATAATTCTTCAAAGACGGAAGTGGTGAATAATGCAGGGCGGCTCCTACTCTTCAAATGGGGTTATAGGAAATTAAAAAACCACTATCAGAATCCCTACCTCCAAGCGACCCCAAAAGAATCCTCCTGGCAGTGTCATCATACACCGAAAAGGTATCAACCGGACAGATAAAGGGCAGTGCTTCTGAGGGTGTTGGAGGATTAATGGGCTTCCACGTATTATTTGTGGGGTCGAAAACATTGCACAGAAATATATTATCGATGGAGGAGTTGTATCGCTTACTATCACAAAAGACATAGATCTTACCATCATCAGCAGTCACTTCGTCGATAAGAGAGGCTTCATTTCCAAGGTTCAATAGAGCAACTTCTTTGCAATCAATATTAATATTACTAGTGTCCATGGCAAGGACACGGACGGCATCACAAGCATTATTAATAGTGCAGTATATGGTGGAGCCCAGAGCTACAGAGCAGCTCCGCCGCGGAAGTGGCATTTTCCTGCCGATGGGTTCCACAGAAAGGGGCTCTTCAACTCTTCCAATCTCGTTCATTTCTTGGCCGATAATTTAATTAGGTACCAATCCGTCACTTCTGGACTCCTGCCAAACTCATTAACACCCTCGTCATAGGCACTCACACGAACATAGATACTTTTCTCGACCTCCTCCTCCTCCTTTAACTTTTCCTTTTCCTTTTCCTTATTCTTTGGGGGAGAACTCGAAGATCCAGAGATTTTTGCCTCCTTCTTCTTCTTCCCAGATTCCGACGAACTCCTAGATCCAGAGATTATTTCCGTCGCCATCAAGCTGCTATCAATGTCTGCCTGCCCTTTTCTAGTTAGGGTTTCGTTAAGCAAACCGAGGAATTATGGAGGCGTCAAGGGATTGGGATTGGGATTGGGATTGGCTGGCCTTTGTTATATAGTATATGGATGCTGCTATAAAATAAATCATTAATATTTTAATTGTTTAATTGGAGATGTTTCAAATCATTAATAGATTAGGTAAAAAATATTTATTAATTGATAGAAAATAAATTAAAATAAAAGAATTTTTATAAATAAAATAAATTAAAATAAAAGAGTTTTTGTAAAAAAATTAAAACGAATAAAACAAGTTACCTATTAAAATAAAATAATAAAATAAATTATCAATTAAATAATTTACAAAATAATAAAATAAATTACCAATTAAAATTAAATAAGTAATTATAAATACTACAAATCATTAAATAAATTACCAATTAAAATTAAATAGGTGATTGTTTAATTGAAGATGTTTTAAATCATTATTAAAACAAGTTACCTATTAAAATAAAATAGATAATCATTTAATAAAATATTTTACCAAATAATAAAATAAATTGTCAATTAAAATTAAATAGGTAATTGTTTAATTGAAATTCAATCAAAATTTCAAATCATTAAATAAATTACCAATTTAAATTAGATAGGTAATTGTTTAATTGAAATTTAGATGTTTAAAATCATTTATAGATAAAATAATAAAATAATTTACTAAAAAAATAAAATAAGTTACCAATTAAAATAAATCATATTATGTTCGGAATTCTTAAAGGATAAAACAAATTTACTTTTTCTATTTTATTCTATTTTTAACTCTTTCCTAAATATATAAATAGATCTAATCTTTTCAAATAATAACTAAATTATTAATTAAAATTAGATAATTATTTAATTAAAATTCAATCAAGATGTTTCAAATCATTTATTAAAATAAGATAGGTAATTTTTTAATAAAATATTTTATAAAATAATAAAATATATTATCAATTAAAATTAAATAGGGAATTATAGATGTTTCAAATCATTGAATAAATTATCAATTAAAATTAAATAAGTAATTGTTTAATTAAAATTTAATTAAGATGTTTCAAATCATTTATAGATTATAAAGATAATTGTTTAATTGAAATTCAATCAAGATGTTTCAAATAATTTACTAAAATAAAATAGGTATTTATTTAATAAAATAATTTACAAAATAATAAAATAAATCACCAATTAAAATAAAATAGGTAATTATAGATGTTTCAAATTATTAAATAAATTATCAATTAAAATAAAATAAGAAATTATTTAATTGAAATTCGATCAAAATGTTTCAAATCATTTATAGATTAGGTAATTGTTTAATTAAAATACAATCAAGATGTTTCAAATCATTATTAAAACATCTAAAATAAGTTACTTATTAAAATAAAATATGTAATTATTGAATAAAATAAATTACATTATAATAAAATAAATTACCAATTAAAATTAAATAGGTAATTATAGATGTTTCAAATCGTTAAATAAATTATCAATTAAAAATAAATAGGTAATTATTTAATTGAAATTCAATTAAGATATTTCAAATCATTAAATAAATTACCCATTAAAATAAAATAGGTAATTGTTTAATTGAAATCAAATGTAAGATATTTCAAATCATTTATATAGATTAGGTTAATTTATTATATAATAAAATAAATTACCAATTAAAATTAAATAAGTAATTATTTAATTGAAATTCAATCAGGATATTTCAAATCATTAAATAAATTACCAATTCAAATTAAATAGGTAATGTTTAATTGAAATTGAATGAAGAAGTTTCAGATCATTTATAAATAAAATAATAAAATAATTTACCAAAAAATAAAATAAGTTACCAATTAAAATAAATCCTATTATATTCAGAACTTTTTAAGGTTAAAACAACTTTGCATTTTCTACTTTATTTTATTTCTAACTCATTTGTAATATATCTTTCCAAATAATAGAATAAATTACCAATTAAAATTAGGTAATTGTTTAATTGAAATTCAATCAAGATGTTTCAAATCATTATTATTCGAGGTTAAATTCAACATGAATTGTATTAATCATGTTGATTTATTATTATTATTTTTTTTGTGTTTGTTTAATTATGTTTTATTTTTTGAATTGCATTAATCATGTTGATTTATTTTTATTTTTTATTTTTTTGTGTTTATTTAATTATGTCATGTCACAATTTATTAACTAAACAAATAAGTTTTGTAATATTATATATTTCCTTCTTTTCTAATTATATACATATTATACAAATAATTGCAACCCCTTAAATTTGAGGTTTTACTTTTAAATTTTTATTTTGAAAATACATTTTCGTTCATAAATATTTGAAATTTTAATTACTCAAACAACTTACTAATCAATTATTTGAAAATTTGAATTTATTTTGATAATTTTTATAATTATTAAGATTATAAAAAATAAAAAAAACTTCTTTTCATCACGTTCGCACTTGTGTTTTACTAGTAGATATAAAAATACAAATATTTATAAGAGAAATATTGATATGAAATGATGGGAAAAAAAATTATTGATGGTGGATGAAAGTATTGCTTGACGTTAGAAAAAAAAAAAAAAGGTGATTCTATAAATACAAAAATATAAATATGTATCTCTACATCTATATCGGGGTATTTGTGTTTTCAAATAAAAGCCCAACTATTTTTTTTTTCAAAACTCCTCAAAAGGGTAAGCAAAATGACTAAAGTATCCATTAGACACCGTTTGAAAATTTGGAAAACAAAAGCTTTGCTATTACTAATTTTTTTTTTTAAGATTCCACACATTCTCAAACCAAAACTAAAATTAACGATCTCATAGATAAAAAGTGACTAAGACAAATATGAAACAATAGTCTCTTGCCCAAAAAACAAAGGTGGTTTTGAGCCCTAGATAGGAAGGAGCCTGAGGGATTGGTTTCAAATTGCAGAGCTCTTGCAAGCTAAATGATTCAATTGGGATATAAACTAGTTTCTGGTGGGAGTGATAACTACTTGGTTCTTGTGGATCTCAGGCCATTGGTATTTCCTGGTATTTTTACTTTTTATGCTTCAACACAGGTTTTGGTTGCTTATACAAAATTTTTCTAGCAAAAGAATGATAATACATCAATTACTTACAAAAGTTTTCTTGCAAAAGAGCTTAAGCCATGGCATGAGCTTTGTGTGTGTATATATATAGTCTATATAGAAGGTATATGCGGGATGAAGGTAGTTTTGTTATATTGTAATTTCTTTAAGGAAGACAAGTAAGGATGGCAATTTCGCTCCGCTCTTAATGGGGCGGATTTGGTAGCTCCAAAAATTGGTATGGGGCGGATATGGTAAAAGAATTGAAAACTCGAAGCAAATTTGGGGCGGGTGCGTCTCCGTTAAATTGGGCAGGGCCTATGTACCCTTTATAGGTCACGTCACCCTAATCCCTATCCTTCAGGTTCCGTTATCAAGTGTAACGTTTATCCTTAAATGACCCAAGTAAGGCTAGCTCTAAGGATCGCGGTACTTACTGCAGCTATCTCTTGCTCTAGTCCTTGGATTGGGTCTTGCCTTTACAAGACTTGACTAGTTTTCTATACTTCATTCCAAAGTCCCTTCTGCATTCCCCAGCATTCCCCCAACTTCGAAGAGTCTTACCATCTACTCTTTGTTTTGGTTGAATGGTTGGGCTGGATCGAGGCTCGGGGCCCGTCGATTGATTAATAGCGACTGGGTCAGATCGAGGATCGAGGCCCGTCGATCGATGATTTGTGGCCGGGTCGGATCGAGGTTCTAAGCCCGTCGATCAACGATTTGTGGCTGAGTCGGATCGAGGTTCTATCGACGATTCGTGGCTAGTCGGTTCAAGGTACCCCTCGATCGACTATCATTTTCCTGATCTCGACTAAGTGTTGTTATTTTTGTCTTTCTTGTTCGGGGTAATAATGTTGTGGGGCTACCTGGATTTGACACTATGTGACGTGGCTGCACCACATCCACAACAACCATATCAAACATTACAATAGTACCACTCATTTCATACATGAAATATTGGGTTTGTTCTAGACACCATCTATAAGCTACAAAATCCATCCCTCTTAGAAATAAGCAAATAAAAAACTAGAAGGGAAGTTCGAAAAGGAAAAAAAAAAAAAAAAAAGACTTTATTAGTTCTAATAGGTGTTATGTTGTATGTAGGGGTTCTTTTTTACTAGGTAATAAAATAGCAATAAAATAGAGATACCAGGAATACAAATACGAAGGAAAATAGAGGAGATGCTCAATGTAGGAGGAGGAGAAGAAGACCAACTATCAAGATCAAGATGGTGGTAGGGCGAGTATACGGTATTTCATGATAGCTTTTCTTTCGTTCGGGAGGTTGGTTCTTTCTTCATAGGACAGTGTCATTTATAGATCTAAATTCCATTGCTCATTATCCAATGGTCCCTTCTATGCATGGTTCCTCGCATGCATCACCCCCAATACGGATTACGTGAGTAATCCTGAAGATTTAGGGGTTTGAAGGGTCTAATCCTTTCCTCGAGCCTTATCCCATGTTGCCATGTCACTTCTCCCCTAATCAAGGGCATTAAATGTTGCTTGGCCGTCGGTTGGTCAAGCCTGACACAACATTAATTGTGATTTTAAGGTTTGTTGTCACGACGTGTATAATCCCATCATCTTGTTAATTGGGCCTTGCCGAGAGCGAAGGCATCTCTTGACTTCTCATCCACCAATCCAAGATCCTCTTAAGTTTCCCAAACATGGATTCCTATAACACGAAGATCCTACCTTCATCTCGTGTTAAGGAGCTCTGATCTTTCAAGACAGCATCGTCTGGCGTAACACCAGGATTCGGGATATTTGAGAGTCGGTCTCGCGAGTCTTGATGGGCCTGGTGTGGCGCCAGGACTTGGGCCTGGGGTGATGTCAGGGCTTAGAGTGCTCGAGATTTGATCTTTCGAAGCTTGATGGGCTTGAAGCAATGCTAGGGTTTAAAGTGCTCGAGATTTAATTTCTCGAGGCTTGAGGGCCTGGAGCTAGGGGTGGCAAAATTGGACACGACACGATAACACGGCACGAACACGACACGAGATAAAAGGGTTTGGGTTTAGTATAAATGGGTTTGGGTCGGATAAGGGTTGACACGATTAAAACACGAAAAAATTAGGTTGGGTTCGGGTTCAACCTGTGTAACCCGCGTAACCCGTTTAATTAAACGGGTTAAACGGGTCGTGTCAACACGAATACGACCAAACCCATTTAAAATATAAAATAGTAAATTGTGAAATAAGAGAGGCTAAATTAGTAAATTTGTCCATATAGGTGTAAAATTAAAAATATAAGAAAAAAAGCACTAACCCTATCGCATTATCGCATACGGCATATTCCATCTTCTTGTTTCTGTCGACAGAGAGCAAAAGGTGATTAAGAAGTACGAACCCTAGCTTTGAGCCTTTGATCTTCTTCGATTCCTCATGTGATTTCTTCCTTCTATCGAGTTCTAACACAAAGTCACAACTAACAAAGGTACAGATCATTTGATTTCAGTACCTATTTCATTTCTTATCTCTTATATTCATTATTCACTATTTCCATTTTTTTGTTTTTGCCGACAGAGAGCAAAAGGCGATTACGAACCCTAGCTTTGATCGTCTTCAATTCCTCATGTGGCAGTTTTACAAGCAGCATACTGAAATATAGTTTTTATCACTACGAACTTGATATTCCGAGGTTCTTTTTAGCAAATATGGTTAGTGTTAGTGCTTTATTTATTTGTGTGTTGTGTTGATTGGTTCATTGGTGTTTCTTCTGAGATTTGACAGGAGATGGTCAAAGGGAGAGTAATCAAATCTTTGCTTAGGCTCAAAATCTAATGAATGTTTCAGACACTATCTCTATATTTTCAATCGATGCCGGTTCTGTTTTTAGTATATAAGAATATAAGATTTGGGCTATTTAATCTGATTTCTTCCTTCTGTCAGTTCTAACAAAGGTACAGATAAATTTCTTTGATCATCTTTAGCTTTCTTCCCAGAAAGACGAAGCTGGACCACACCATCTATAAGTCATATATATATATATATATATATATATATGTCTCTGTGTATTTCTAATTTTCTATATAAGCACACACATGTATGTATGTCAGTGTATTTCTTGTTCTTTTTTAGTTTCTTTTATGCTTGGATTAAATCGTTTAGAAATATTGTATATTCTTTACTGAAATATAAATTCCACAAACATTTTTGAGTTAAATAATTTCTTAGACATTTACACACACTTATATTTTATTTTTTGCGAAAAAAAATTTTGAAATACTTTTTGTTGAAACAAAAGAAAATTTCTATGTTATAATTATTTTGTATTAAGGTCTAGAGATTATTACAGAAAAAAGAATTTGGGTGTATTATAAATTATAACAATAACTAATCTTTTCTTAAAACAAGAAATATGTATTAAATTAACTTAGTAATTTATTTTTGTATTCTATTATGTTATCTTTTTACTTTTTTTTTTATTTCGGTGCAAACTTGTAGATGGATGCTGCTACTGATATTCAAATAAACCTTGAAGATGTTGAAGAAATTGGCGATGAAGTTGAAGAGCTACAAGGAGATGAGGAAGCTTTCAAACCAAAAAAAGCTGTAAAACGAAAAAGAAAATTCACCTCTGCCGTTTGGAAATATTTTAAGATGCGTCCTCTTGCTAAAGACAAGAAGCCAAGATGCGAGTGCAACAAATGCGGGACAGTTTATTTGTGTAGTTCCAAGTATGGAACTGGGAATATGAAGCGGCATATTGATAATTGTATCAGAAAGAACACACGTGATGTAGGTCAGCTTCTTTTATCTCAAGTGCATTCATCAAAATTTGATCCTGAAAAGTTTCGTGAATTATTGACTGCTGCTATTATAATGCATAAGCTACCTTTTCAATTTGTTGAGTATGAGGGCATTAGAGTAGTATGTCGATATTTATGTGAGGATTTTCAACCTATTAGTAGGAATACTGCCAAGGCTGATATCTTGAAAATGTATAAAACTGAAAAGGGTAGGCTTCGACACTTGTTAGGATCAGTGCATGGTAGGATTTGTTTGACATCTGATTTATGGACTTCTTTAACTACTAATGGGTACTTGTGCCTCACTGCACATTTTATTGATGATGATTGGCAATTACAGAAAAGAATCTTGAACTTTTGCTACATGCCATCACCACATAATGGGGTTACCATAAATGAAAAAATTACACATTGTTAACCGAATGGGGGATTGAGAAAAAACTGTTTTCAATCACTTTGGACAATGCTTCTTCAAATACTTCATTTGTTGACATGTTGAAGTGTCAATTAAATTTAAATGATGCATTGTTGAGTGATGGTAATTATTTTCACATTCGGTGTTGTGCTCATATTTTGAATTTGATTGTGCAAGATGGTTTAAAAGAAATTGATTAATCTGTCATTAAGATTGGTGAAAGTGTTAAGTATGTTAAAGGTTCTCCGGGGAGAAAACAAAAATTTTTGGAATGCATTTCTCATGTGTCTTTGGATTCTAAGAGAGGTTTGAGGCAAGATGTTTCTACAAGATGGAACTCAACATTTATTATGCTTGAGTGTGCCATTTATTATCGTCGTGCATTTTGTCACATGGCATTAAGTGACTCAAATTATAAGCATTGTCCATCTAAAGATGAGTGGAGCAAAGTGGAGAAGATTTGCAATTTCTTAGGAGAATTTTATAATGTCACTAAAGTCTTTTCTGGAACAAAATATGCTACAACAAATTTGTACTTCCCTGCTGTGTTTTTAGTTCAACGAAAATTGCTAACTGAAAAGGAGAGTTTGGATGAGTTCTTGTCTAGCATGGCCACTAAAATGTATTCGAAATTCTCTAAATATTGGTCAGAATTTAGCATGATCCTTGCTATTGCTGTGATTTTAGACCCTCATTTCAAGCTTTATTTTGTGGCTTTTAGTTACACTAAGATTTATGGGTATGATTCTAGAGAGATCAAAAGGGTCCGTGATAACTTGTTTAGTCTCTTTAATGAGTATTTGCATGATTCTCCTTCTCCTATGAGCACAAAAGCCACTTCACAAACAGTTGGAAGTTGTTCTTATGAAAGAGAAGAAGCACTTTGGACAAAAGAGAGTAGAGATATCATGCAGGTAATTTGATATCTTATTTTTTCATTTACGTATTTTAACTAGTTTTACTTTATTCTTGTAAAATATTTATTTGAGTACTCGCTTTTACATATTTATTTTTTATATTGGAATTTGATAGTTTTGAAAGTGATGAATTTGCTAGTGCTCAAAAATCAGAATTAGAATTGTATTTGGATGAGCCAAAGGTTGATAGGAAAGTAGACCTTGATGTGCTTGTATATTGGAAGGCCAACCAGTTCAGGTATCCAGTACTTTCTCGTATGGCTCGAGATGTATTAAGCATTCCAGTGTCTACGGTTGCTTCCGAGGCTACTTTTAGTGTTGGTGGTCGAATTCTTGATCAATTCCGTAGTTGTCTTAAACTTGAGAATGTGAAGGCTTTGGTTTGCACAAGAGATTGGTTATTTAATATAAAAGGTAATCAATTCAAATTTTTATTAATTAAATTAAATTTACTTTCATTGGTATTTATATCAATTTTTCTTTTGGTGTTTTTAAATGAAGAGAGCATGCAACTTCAATTGGATGACCTTGTTGTGGAGTTTGATGATTTGACCATGAGTAATAAAGAGGGCGTTCCTTCAGCACAATGTTTAAACACTTGTGCTGATATGGTTCAATAAGGTATTAATGATGTTATAACTCAATTTATTATTAATATTTTAGCAAATAAATTGTAATACTGATATAACTTGTGCTCTTTTTTTTTTTTTTTTTCAGCTCTCTATTTGGTGAAACTTTTTTTGTGCTACTACTATTTTGGAAGTTATCTTTTGATCATGCCTTCTTCATTGAAGCCAGTGAATATCCTTTTTGGTGGTTTTGGTTAACAAAGAGCATATGCTTGGAGGTGATCCTTTTGTTAGTAATCTGCATATGACAAAGAGCAATATGATTCTACTGAACTACGCTCTTTTTTGGAGGTTGACATGACTGTATAATTTTATATTTCAAGATTTTCTTTGTCCTAATCCATATAATTTTATATTCATATCATCACCAAATGCTGGCTTATTTGATTCGCAGGGTCTTGGTGCATTGATTTATGCTGGAACTGGAACAGTGGAAGGAAGTAATTCATCTGGAGAGTGGGAGGAAATGGAACTAAAAACATCTCAGGTTTATATACATACCTGTGTATGTTTTTTTTCCCCTTGTTTTGGGAAAGGAGGGGAAGGGGGTTTTTATGGGGGGTTTATATGCATACAAGCTTCTTTGTGTTGGAGACTTGGAGTGAATCAAGGATTGATCATTTCACATAATTCAAAAGTACATTTGAGGAATAATAATAGGAACTAAAGTCATTTTGTTTTCTTTCTTCTTCTATTTTTTTCTTTGTTCAAGATTTTCAAGATTTTCTTTGTTCTAATTCTTAGAATTTCAAGATTTTATTTGTTCTAATCCATATAATTTTATATTCACATCATTACCAAATGCTGGCTTTTTTGATTCGCAGGGTCTTGGTGCATTGATTTATGCTGGAATTGGAATAGTGGAAGGAAGTAATTCATCTGGAGAGTGGGAGGAATTGGAACTAAAGACATCTCAGGTTTATATACATACCTGTGTATGTTTTTTTTCCTCTTGTTTTGGGAAAGGAGGGGAAGGGGGTTGTTAGGGGGGGTTTATATGCATACAATCTTCTTTGTGTTGGAGACTTGGAGTGAATCAAGGATTGATCATTTCATATCATTCAAAAGTACATTTGAGGAATAATAATAGGAACTAAAGTCATTTTGTTTTCTTTCTTCTTCTTCTTCTTTTTTTTTTTTTTTTTTTTTTTTTTTTTTTTTTTTCCCTTTCTTTATTTTATTTTTTTGTCATGTGTGTCACTTATGATGCAGTTTACCAAATTGATGAAACTAGAGGTGCCTCTCTATTGATACTAAGAAACAGTGACTCGAGGACTACGAACTGTGAAGGTTAGGGGTTCTGACATAAAAATTACATCATGGAGCATCTTTTCGAAAATCGTATTGTTTTTTCCTGTTAGATGGTTTCTTGCAGAAATAACTTTGAACGTTAAGAGTTTCACCGATCACATAACTACACTGTAATTTTTATCATTTTTGTACACAGAAATCAAGCATTGTAAACGTATTTTCCCTTGAGCATATCATGTCATCGTGTTTGAGCTAAAATGATTATCTTTGATTGGTAGCAGTCTGGGTTCACCAGTTTGGTCTCCAATTCAGTTTATTCTTTTATATTTTCAGTCAAGTCCTTATCTATTTTTTATAACATCTATACTAGACAATTTACTTCAACTTTAGGACGACAATTGGCTAATCTGTCCGGTAATCTCATGGAATTTTCATCTGACCATGTGAATTTTCAACTTCAGCTCTTTTGTGATCTGCCATATGCCCAAACTTGAGGTGTCCATTTTTAGAAAGGAATATGGATACAAATATATCCATATTTTATCATGCCAACTGCAAAATGAGCTGAAATCTGCTGCAAGTTGAACCTATTACAGACCCTTACGGTCCTTCAATCATTGATGCGAATTTGGGGATTTGGGTTTGGTCAGCACCACATATTAGTCAATTGTGGGAATATATTAGTCAATTGTGGGAATATATCTATATATAAGCCAATTTATCTTGGAAAATACTCTTTTAAGTCTTAGCTATGTCATCTAACATATATATGGTTTTTTTTTTACTTGACGTTTTTTTAGTTTTATCATTTTATATAGATTAGAGGTAAAAAGACTCAGAACTACATACTACAGTGGGGGTGAAAGCTTTTGACAAGCTTGGAGATGGAATGTCATGATTTTTGTTTGGTGATAGGCTCGGAGAATGAAATAGCCTTCTTCATTGAAGCCAGTGAATGGTATGTTTAATACTTTGTTCATGTGCTCATATGGTTTTTTTTTTTTTACTTGATTTTTATTAGTTTTATCTTTTTATATAGATTAGAGGTAAAAAGACTAGGAACTACATACTACAATGGAGGTGAAAGCTTTTGACAAGCTTGGAGATGGAATGTCATGATCTTTGTTTAGTGACAGGCTCGGAGAATGAAATAGCCAGTGACAAGCTTCCAGTTCCAGAGCATGACCACTTTTCTTTTTTCTTGAATGAATGGGACTTTGTGAATTTAAGTTATATATATATATATATATTGGATGATTTGCTGAAACAATTTGGGTTGAAAAGATATGTAACTGATATTATATTGTTTCTAGTTATTTTGATGCCTTAGATAAACATAAATGGGATGAAAAAAAAAAAAAAAAAAAAAACAAACAAAGAAACAAACTTAACCTGATTTATTTGATAAATGGGTTAAATGGGTCGTGTCGTGTTGAATTCAACATGACACGACCCAATTATTAAACGGGTTACATGGGTCGTGTCGTGTTACCCGTTTAATAATTGGGTCGTGTTCGTGTTTATCCAACTCGACACGAAAATTATATGACACGACCCATGTAATTTTCGTGTCGAGTTGGATTCAACATGACACGACCCATGTAATTTTCGTGTCGAGTTGGATAAACACGAACACGACCCAATTATTAAACGGGTAACACAACACGACCCATGTAACCCGTTTAATAATTGGGTCGTGTCATGTTGAATTCAACACGACACGACCCATTTAACCCATTTATCAAATAAATCAGGTTAAGTTTGTTTATTTGTTTGTTTGTTTGTTTGTTTGTTTTTTTTTCATCCCATTTATGTTTATCTAAGACATCAAAATAAATAGAAACAATATAATATCAGTTACATATCTTTTCAACCCAAATTGTTTCAGCAAATCATCCAACATATATATATATATAACTTAAATCCACAAAGTCCCATTCATTCAAGAAAAAAGAAAAGTGGTCATGCTCTGGAACTGGAAGCTTGTCACTAGCTATTTCATTCTCCAAGCCTGTCACTAAACAAAGATCATGACATTCCATCTCTAAGCTTGTCAAAAGCTTTCACCTCCACTATAGTATGTAGTTCTCAGTCTTTTTACCTCTAATCTATATAAAAAGATAAAACTAATAAAAATCAAGTAAAAAAAAAAAAAAAAAAACCATATGAGCACATGAGCAAAGTATTAAACATACCATTCACTGGCTTCAATGAAGAAGGCTATTTCATTCTCCGAGCCTATCACCAAACAAAAATCATGACATTCCATCTCTAAGCTTGTCAAAAGCTTTCACCCCCGCTGTAGTATGTAGTTCTGAGTCTTTTTACCTCTAATCTATATAAAATGATAAAACTAAAAAAACGTCAAGTAAAAAAAAAACCATATATATGTTAGATGACATAGCTAAGACTTAAAAGGGTATTTTCCAAGATAAATTGGCTTATATATAGATATATTCCCACAATTGACTAATATGTGGTGCTGACCAAACCCAAATCCCCAAATTCGCATCAATGATTGAAGGACCGTAAAGGTCTGTAACAGGTTCAACTTGCAGCAGATTTCAGCTCATTTTGCAGTTGGCATGATAAAATATGGATATATTTGTATCCATATTCCTTTCTAAAATGGACACCTCAAGTTTGGGCATATGGCAGATCACAAAAGAGCTGAAGTTGAAAATTCACATGGTCAGATGAAAATTCCATGAGATTACCGGACAGATTAGCCAATTGTCGTCCTAAAGTTGAAGTAAATTGTCTAGTATAGATGTTATAAAAAATAGATAAGGACTTGACTGAAAATATAAAAGAATAAACTGAATTGGAGACCAAACTGGTGAACCCAGACTGTTACCAATCAAAGATAATCATTTTAGCTCAAACACGATGACATGATATGCTCAAGGGAAAATACGTTTACAATGCTTGATTTCTGTGTACAAAAATGATAAAAATTACAGTGTAGTTATGTGATCGGTGAAACTCTCAACGTTCAAAGTTATTTCTGCAAGAAACCATCTAACAGGAAAAAACAATACGATTTTCGAAAAGATGCTCCAAGATGTAATTTTTATGTCAGAACCCCTAACCTTCACAGTTCGTAGTCCTCGAGTCAATGTTTCTTAGTATCAATAGAGAGGCACCTCTAGTTTCATCAATTTGGTAAACTGCATCATAAGTAACACACATGACAAAAAAATAAAATAAAGAAAGGGAAAAAAAACAAAGAAGAAAAAGAAGAAGAAGAAGAACAAAGAAAACAAAATGACTTTAGTTCTTATTATTATTCCTCAAATGTACTTTTGAATGATGTGAAATGATCAATCCTTGATTCACTCCAAGTCTCCAACACAAAGAAGCTTGTATGCATATAAACCCCCTATAATAACCCCCTTCCCCTCCTTTCAACTTGCCATGGAAGATTTAGCTAGGGTTGTATTGACTTGTCAACGTGCCACATCAAAGTCTGATAAGTGACACCCACATTTTGCCCCCCTGCACGTGCGACAATTCAAAATGAATTATTGCGGGTGCAAGACTAGGTTTCTAGGTCATTTATTGTTTCGAGGAGGCTGAAGAGACGCGAGCATGAAAGGTCGCCTCCAGTTATTAATGCGCCGTCTGTTGCCGATTTGATTTTTGGGGGTTCCCGAGGTAAGAGGGCTATTAAAAGGGAACAGTGACGGAGTAAAGGGTTTACTTATGAAAAGGACTTAGAAAGTACTGAGATTACCTGAACTTCCATTGTCGTCGGAGAAGAGATCTCACAAAAGTTTAAAGTTTATTGGTTCATTGTTTGTTTAGTGGAAGGGACTGCCACCATGGTTAGCAAGAAACAAGAGTTATGCAAAAAGGATTGCCCTCCACCAAAGGTGCCAGCAGATTCGGAATGGCGACGGGCACCATTTTTTGGAAAAAGTGACCTGTTTTGGCACCGAGCGAGCAAGGCTGTGGTCGCCCGCGAACCACTTAAAGTGGTTGAATTGATGGAGGAGAAAGTTTAAATGAACCTGGCTCCTCGCATCCCTGCGGATACGATCCTACGATTTGGGGTCGAGCAAGGTCAATATCCATGGTCCTATGTGAACTTTAATAATCACATAAGTCCAGCCTATAGTTGGGAAAAATGGACAGACGCGATCCTTGCAAACCCGGAGTACGAGGCAATCTTGGATGCAGCGAGCTTGACACCATGTATTAAGCTGTTTCGCCAAATACACATTCTTCTCGACACTGCAAGTTTATGGGAATTAACCTCGCGATGGAGCTCAAACTCGCATACTTTCATTACGGCGTAGGGAGAGTTCACTCCCACGATTGAGGATGTGAGCCAGTTACTAGGTCTACCTTTTGAAGGGGTAGAAAATCTTGGCTCTTGGGAGTTCGTGCAAGCTGAAGAGACTTTGGCTCATGATCTCGAGACGGCACTGGAGAAAACTAAAGATTTTAGGTCGTTGTGGGGCGCATTGGGTGTTTGCCATGCTGAGTGAGGCAAGGGTACACGCAAGGCCACTCTTGGGGCGTTGGTACGATACTATTTTAAGGACTTCCCCATGACAAAAAAGAATCTCTCAGAGGAGGGAAGAAAAGGGATTCCAGGTCCCTGGGCTGATCATTCTTCCAGTCTCGCGGCCTACTTACTATATTAGCTATCGAGATACCTGTTCGAGGGGACTCCGGAGGATGCTTCACAGCCACGACTTATGGATCTGGCGGTGAAGCTGGCGAGTGGTGTGAAAGTGGCCCTCGCACCTCTCTTTTTGGGGACATTGTACCACCGACTTGATATGGTGTGGGAAGACATGGGACGGTCTGTGGGGCACTACGTCCATTGCTCGTACGCGTCTACTATCTTTCTACAAATGTTCCTGTACGAAAGGTTCCAATCTTATGCTCCCATCCCAGCAGACTTGGCCGTAGACGAGGAGGTGGTGCGAGGCATGAGATGGCATGGTCTGTCGCCACGAGGACGGCTAGGATATGCTTTGGACCAAAGCTTCCAATTCATTAGTCGCCCTTGTGCGGTGGACCTGCCTGGGGCTAAAACTCTGCCCATGTATTTTGATGATAATGAGCACATTCCAGCGGTTGTTCATCGCTTAAACGCGAACGAAGTGTTGGTGTTCTTGTTGATGAGCACCCCTGGCTACTTGCTCGCGATATGGGAAGAGGGCTAAAAAACAAAGACATATAACCCTCGCAGAGTCCCTCTGCAATTTGGCTACGATAGGGGGCTACCCTCGCAATACATCTTTGTGGAGGGCGAGGACTCTTACGAGAGTAGCTTCGCGAGATTTGTAGCGGCTCACATTGGGCTACTCCGCGAAGGAATTGGTGATGTCTTCCTGCCAGGAAGAGGCAGGGTCCTGAGATGTATAGAGACGGCTCGCTCGCTATGGGCAATAGAGTTAGCGAGCTGGAAAGATTTTTGTCAAAGTCCTGCCCATCGTGCAAAGGCATTGGTGATCTATTCGGGGGACCATTCATTGAGGCCTCCAATAAAAATTGACAGGGGGGACCTTTAAAGCTTCGCTCCTGACCTGAACCCACTACAATGCAACAAGGGGAATCCTAGCAAGCCGTCGCGGCAACCGCTAATCCTGCCGTCGAGGCAGCCCCAACGCTTGTCCGTAGGAGCAAGACGAGGACAACTTCACACACAAACCTTGCCCCCTAGCAAGCGCGCAGCTGTAAGTGCTACAGAGCCAGCCATTGCTAACGTAAGGGAGGAGAGGGTAAGGCCTCAAACGCCAAGTATATCTCGACCCATGGCCTCTACGAGCAGAATCCCACTCATGGATGAACCAACTGAGAGTGAAGATACGACTACTTCTGAAGATGATGGCAAACAGCCTCTCGTTGGAGAGCATGGCTCGATCGCTGCAGCTTTTGGGCCAGGGCAAGGGGGGTCGCACAGGTTTCATAGGGTGCAAGATGGTGGAATTGACGTCACTGTCTATGATATAAGCTCAGGCGAGGTACTAGCTTCTGACAATGAATTTCCAAATTTACCTACTTTTGATTTTATGAAAGCCTTAGGTGAGAGTGCCCTGTATTGTTATGGTCAGAAGGACACTTCAACGGGGGTGAGAGAGGAAGAAATGGAAGAGCTCACGCTGGATGTCTCGCCTCTCATTACCATTCGAGACGTACTTGTGTGCACGCATGCTGCTGAGGTGGCTGAAATGATGCGAGGGTATGTAAGTGCTATAGCGCCACCTCAAGCGAGCGCTGACATTGCCGAGGACACAGTACTTCCCCAGGAGGGGGAGGATATGTCTCGAGACGATGCCAAGTGAAGGTTGAGAATGGGTCAGAATCCCTAAACCCTGAGGTGACAAGTCGTTCAGGCGATGCTGCAGCTGGGTCACCCAGGGGCGAAAATGTAGAGGTGGCCCCGTGAGGTAATACAGATACAATTTTGAGCTCGCCCATGGAGATGCGAGAACCCTCACAACCGAAAGATGAACAGACGGGAGAGCGCGTCTCTTCCGAAAGTGGCGAGGCCTCTGAGCGAGACCCCCAAGCCTCGCCTTTAGAGACACAGAAGATAAAACAGGCCTTTCTGGTAAGCGAGGAGACGTTGCACCTTTGACGGAGTTGCACCCTTCACCAGTCCTCCCGGTGCCACAAGTGGAGACTACTGTGGTGAATGCCACGGCTACCCTAGTGAGGCGGTCCATAATTCCCACTGTTGAGCAAACTACAGCAGAAAGGACTCATTGCCCTCTTGGCGAGCCAACCTTGGGGGTTGAGCAACTTACTGTGAGTGGCACAGGGCCACAAGCTACTAGCGCGGAGGCGGAGTGGATGGGTATACCATTCCCTCGCGCCTATGTACAACTCCTCGAGGCAGCCCTTGCACATCATCTAGAGGTTGTGCAATTTCTATCATCGCGCCATGCATATATGCGGCACTCAATGTATTTATTCCTTGGCAAAATTTTGGAGGTTTTTGCAGAAATCGAGCAGGGCGCGACCAATAAAAACCTCATCCGGGAGGCTACACTCCTATTGGATGATGTTCAGAGGCTCAAAGTTCCAGTTTCATGGCTGCAAAGACGATTATTTGTGGCTGAAAAGTGTTTGAAGCAGCAACTACTCGCACCACGCCTTCAAGAAGTACGGGCTCGTATTAGCAAATTGGAGGGGGAGCTCGCACAAGAGCGAGAGAGCTTGGAAGTACTGACAGCGTACTCACGGGAGCTCGATGATGATTACTCGCTGCTGTCATCATATAGGGATTAGACTTGTAGGTTGCTCTTTTGATTATTGATGTAAACATGAGTCAAGGACTCCACAATTGTAATCGAACAACCTTGAATGAAAAGACAAAAAATTTGTGATTATTCCACTCTTGGTTTTTTTTTTTTTTTTTGAGAACTCAAGTCATGCACCAAGCTTAATAAAACCAGTAACTTTCATTCAGGATAGCCAAGTTTAAAAAAAGTAAGGCTTGAGCCAGACATTATTAATGGGGCTATGATCAGAGTCCT